GTGATGGTAAATGATGGATGGTGTCGAGTGCGTTTGACGGCATAAGTATATGCTAACAGAGTTCTTGTTTATTTGGTGGGTTATGCCATTGCGTCGTGATTTCTGGGGCATGCGATCGCGATTGTGATCGTGATCGTGACTATGATCATGGCCATGACAGCTTCCCGGCATTCACATCGGAGCTGTCATGTCATTGCAGGTGGATTCTCCTAAGTCGATTGAATCGAATTCATCCTCACTTTTATAAAGACGAAGGTTTTCAAGCGTTAGGTCGCTAGCTTTAGGTGTTACTGAGTTTGGAAATCCACCATCCTCCTCTTCAATTATTGACGGTGTCCCACTACCTTGATGTCCGTCCAGAAACACGAGCAAAGGATACACTTTTTGCTAATTCGGTCGTCAATCTTTTCATCTTTGAGTGTAAAGGAAACTCCACTGGTTCTCTTGGAATCTATGGTGATCGATGACCTCTGTGGGGAACGCGCAATCGTGATCACGATTATGGCAGCATCCTGGTGTTTGATCTTTGGGGTTATCATTATTCTTGTCTTCTTTTTCTTCTTTCCGTCGGAGCCTTGGTCGCGGTGTGCTTCGTCGTTCGCGGCGTATAGGTCTTTTCGTGATTAGAGGGCGATCGTGATCGTGATCGTGATCATGATCATGATGGCATTTCGGCGTTTCTAGTCGTCGGTCTTGGTCATATTCTCTCGTCTTGGTGTAATTCCGGTAAGTCGCGGCGTTTGTGGCATTTTCTTCTTTTGCGGCTTTTTACCATCGGCTTCTAACTCTTTCTTACCAGTCTTTCCCTAGCCCCATGCTTCACGTTCGATTCGCCATCCGCGGGTTCTCCTTGACCCTCGGCGATATCCATCGTCCCTGGCATGAGCTACTGGAATCTCGCAGGTAAGTTCTAGTTCATTGCCTTCTGGTTTTTCGCCGTTCTTCTCTTTACAGACGGTCCTCCTTTCTTTAGGTACTCGTCTGTAGCTTCTTTCGGCGTCGCGACTTCTTCTTCGCGATGCGATCGTCGTGGGAGGCGGGGTGGAAAGTCCATTGTACCATGGTTCTCTCGGACTTCCAATTTTTTTTTCATGCCATTAGTAACCGTCGAACGTTGATATTGCTTTTTTGTATGTGTCTGTCACCGTCGCATAGAGCACAATGCCGTGTCCTTCTTTTTTTTTTTTTTTAACTGATCATCACGGCCCTGCATGATGTTTACTCGTTGTACGTATCCGGTCGATCGAACTAGATCCTTCAAATCCTGCCAGCCGGCTACAAATGGAAGACAGCCAACAAATAATTGCCTCTGCAAACTCAACGATGTCGTACCATTTATCCTGTTTGCACCTTGCAGTCTCCCTCGCCATTCTCACGTGGCGGAGTTTCCTCACGAATTCTCCGTAGTCCGGCATTACCATCGGGACGGATATTCGTGACCGGTAAGTATATATATATATTTTTTTTTCTTTTCTTTTTTTTTTTGTTATCGTTATAATTTGTTAATAATTTATTTATTTATTTATTTTTTTATTATTTTATTATTTTTATTTTTTTTTCTAAAACGGCAAATGCTAATTCGCCGTTTTCTCTTCTTTGTATGCCGGGGGTGGCGATCTTCTCGCGATCGTACTGCATCCCGGCAGTATCCTCGCTGAGAGGTAAGTATCTTCTTGGTCCGGGGTCTTCTCTTGTTCTTTGTTTCTTCAGGGGCGGCGAATTTCATTATTACGGCGTCGTTTATTCATTTAATAATAATTTAATTTTTAGGGGGAGGCGCATATACCGCCGATCCCGTGATCGTCGTTTTCAAGGCTTTGCTTTTCTTCTGCGCAAGCCATTCCGGAGCTTCTATCGTTGGATTTGGACTTCTTTTAGGTCGGGACGATACTTCTTCATCTATTCGGCATATACCAGCAGCCGAATTCTTCTTGGGCATCGTCGTTGGAGCAGAATTGATCTTTGTTTTTCCGATCGTCGCGGACACAACATCGTTTTCGTTGCTCCTTCGAAGATTGAACTTCCTCGGGGGCAATTTCTCAGAGGTGGCAATCAAAGAACATTCCATTTTTGGGACCTGATTGTCAAACTTGCGTCTAACGGATGAGGCGCATCTCACAGTCATTACCAATTTGTCATATATCTTCCTACCTCAGGAGAAAGATATGGACAGAGAACTAATAGCAGGGAGACACTTTGTATGGATGGA